TGAGACCGATAGGTCCTGGGTTCGAATCTCGCGAGTTGAGGCCGTGGTTGTGCACTGCTAAGGAGTCCCATACTTGGATGAAACGGCCATCCAGTTCTTCGAGGCTTTTCATGGTTCTCTAGCTTCAATGGACTCATGAATTCAACTATTAATAAGCCTTTATTTACTAATCCTACATTATCAGTTTTCTGACTACGAAACGGAGATGAAATTAGTATTTGATATTTTATCTATTTCGATAAAAAGCATGAATTTCATTCTATTTGAAATTATAAGAAACCATCAATTGAATATCTACTTCAGTGTTTACGTAAATGTTTTCCGTTAACAGTTCATATACGGTGTTTTTTAATAGTAAATACTTAAACAACAGTGACGTTTCCAATTACAATTTTTCAGCTTATTTCAAATATCATAAAAGAATAGAATTTGCACGAAGTCAATGGAGACTATGGAAAAAAAACTGTAATGATTACATAGTTTCCACTAGTTTCAGCGTTATACGTACTATCATGGTTTTTCAAACTATGTATAAAGTTTATAAGGTACTTCAACATGAATTATTACACACACGTATGGTGTTTAAATAAACCAATGATTACTTTGTATTGATGAATGTTTTGATTTTGAATTCCAAGTACAGTGCATTCGTTCGTGCTCATCTAATACTTCTTGAATAAATTGCGTTACTGCTGAAATTGCTAGTTGATAATATAATTCAAATACTCTTAAACATCACATTAGCGTCGCGGTGGAGCCCGTGATGGAACGGTTGGATATATATTCAGATTTTAATGCTATTGAGAATTACATGAAGATCAAAATCTGGGCTATAACCAAGGAAAATATTGAGGATTTTAATATTGGACTCATTTCCTTACGTTCATCGGAAAAGAAGCATACAGCTTCATAAAGACTTTGGCATTTCTAAACAAACCGATTTTACTTCCTTATGCAACTCTCAAGCAACTACTGCTGGACCATGTAAAGTACTCAAATATCGAATGTGGTAAAGGAAAAAATTCAATGAAATGACTCGCCAGGACATCATGAATTACACTACTTTTCAATGTCGTCGCAGTTCAATACGTAATCAAGTTTATTCAGATAACAATTCATCAAGTTGTGAAACAGTTCACGAAGATGATCAAAAGTGACAAATATGTTCTGGATTAGTCGAATTGTAGTCACATTTCTGGTGTTATTGTATCAGATGTTGGATATTCTCACGAACAATGTATGTTGAATAGAATCCTTAGTCAGTGGTATAGTGAATCAGAGGGAATAGCAAGTTTTCTTGAATCAATCAGAGGACCAGTTTACCCAGATGTGAAGTTTGCACGGGCAGAAGATACAAATCAAGTTCAAGATTATCCTAATGAGTATGAGTCAGATTCATGTTTTCCGTTTGATTGTTTCGCAGGTGAATCAAGCCCAGATGAATCACGTGTTAGTTACACTTATCAATATATATCTATATGTGTATTCTAATATGAATAACAAAAACAATATGTATCATAATTTTTATGCAAGTCAAATTCACATGAAGGAATACATAAAATTACGTGTCAATGTGTATCCCCAAATACTCATATATAATAATCGAAGTGTGAGATATAAGAAAATAAAGCAAATTGGGAACGTCAAATTGGTTATAACATTGCGACCTAAGGACCTAACATTATTTCGTGTGGAAGTATAGTGTTGGAAAGTCTATGATGCAAATACTAGATGTCAGTGGTTTCACCACACAACCGACATGATGATTGCATACAATTCCAGGAATCAGGTGAGTCTGTCCCAATGTCGGTTGTTAATTCTAACACTAATGTGTATATTCCAGATCGTACAGAGTCTACATCTATTACACAATTGGGCAGACACGTGATAAACCTAAAGAGAAGAGGTACGATTGATAGCAGAAATTTGGATTCTCATTTAAGCTGCGGTGGATGTGGTGTTTGAATTATCACCAATGATTCCCTTGTATTGATGAATATTTTAGATTTTGAATTCCAAGTACAGTAGATTCATTCGTGCTCATCTAATATTTCTTGATTAAATTGCTTCATTGCTGGGATTGGTTGTTTTTTCTAAAATTCAAATACTCTTAAACATCACAATACCTTTCTATAAATCATTATTTGTTATTGAAATACAACAGCTTCAGTATTCTGTGAAATAAGATGATATCATCTATGTTTAGAGAATAAATGAGGGATTTCTAGTGAGAATGTTTGATATACTCTATTTATTGATTATTATTCTACCCCCCCCCTTTTTATCACACATAATAATCAATATTCACAGGTAAAATTACTGAGTCAGAAAAAAATTGGCATCGGGCTTGTTTACTTCTTTTTTCTTTGGCAAGTTTAGTGGAATTAAAAACAAAAATGCTTCCCAATAGAGATATTTAAACATTCACCATGGTGACTATAAATGACACAAATGTTTTTTTTTTAAAAATTCTTGACTACAATATCAGTTGTTATGTTTATTTAACAGTTATGAGTATTGAAATAACATTTTCATAGGCATGAAAACTAATTTCTAAGATGAAATATTTTTATTAATGGTAAACAAAGACGGATAGTGGCTAGCAGTGGAATCCAGGAAGCGCGTCAAGTCCTATTTGGGACTAGTCAGCTGGATGTACCTGCATCTCAGAGTTGATGGTTACTCTGCGACTAGAACCCAGTACCTTTGCCAATTACAGACTGACCAGTTGCAATCTCAACACATCGATGGGAAGATTCAAACAAACAATACTAAATGAATTTTTATTGGTGGTTCTATGTATATACATATATCACTAGTCCCATAAAATGTCCGTTTACCTAAATTATAAAATAAGCGAAGTTGGAACTGTATCTCATAGTGTCGACCCAGTGATTCTAATGAAAATTTTTCTGCTTGAAAGCTCAATAACCTGGTTTCAATCATCGGTTTGAGCTCTAGTAGCTAACACTGAAGCTGTTTGCTATGAAAAGCACCGGTTACTGTGAATCATGTATTATTTTATTTTTTTTCTGAGGGTCATATATCTATATTCACAAGTCGATCGCTAGATAGATTCATAGATATGAAAATATCCATTAAAGTAGTGAGAAAGTCTTTTATAAATTCAACAGTGAGTATCCACGATCCCGCAGGCGTGTACAGGACCCAGGACCTTCGGTCTCCTGCCCGAATGCCTGACATGTAGACCACTGAGCCAGGATTCCAGAGTATTAACGTCTGAAATTCAACCACTCCAGGTTTTTTAGCTTTCCAATGGTGGTCTAGCATCGATAGATTAATGATTTCAATGAAATTCAACATTCTTTATAATCCAAAATCTAAAATGATACCTAATTATTTCTTATATAGAATATAAATATGATTTTATCTAATACTTTAATAACTCGGTTTATTTGAACCATCATGATCAGTTGATATAAGCTAAGACCTATGTATCTTTCCATACCCAAAGATTGATTACTAAGATCTATTCACTATAACTTTGTTTGTCAATAATTTTTTTATTTCGAGATAGCGTTTATTTATATAGTTGGATCATTTTTTTCAATCATTTAATCCGTGTCAACGTTTACCTAGACAGCTCAATATTATTAAACACTGTATTATAGATCATTGTTTCTACGGTAATCTTTTGTATCCGGACATTAATGATGGTCACAAAAATTTTAAAACAAGTGATCTTAATATTACTTTTCTATCTCTTAATTCATATTTCATAACTATAATTTACTAAAACAGATCAGTTTAATATGAAAATATGTTAAATAACTGACTGAAGCTTAGATCTTATTTTCAGAATCATATTACACACAATAGTAAAACATATCAATTTGAAAGTAAATTACTCAAACATAGTACCGTACCTAACCTTAAATAAAAATAAAAATTGAAGTTATTATTAAGCAGAGATTGATAGTGGCTAGTAGTGGAATCCAGGACGCGCGTTTCGTCCTATTTGGGACTCGTCAGCTGGATGTACTTGCATTTCAGAGTTGATGTTCACTCTGGGACTCGAACCCAGTACCCTCGCTTCAAACGCCATCGCGTTATCCACTCGGCCACTGAGTCCTGATAGCCACTTGCTTGTGCGAAGTTATTATTGATTGAAAATTTCTAATCTTTAACAAATCTTCCTTAAATTGAGTTTGTATTTCAGGAATTTTTTTTAATAGTATTTTATCATCATAAGCTTTAAAAAAAGAGATGGATATACTTCATTGAACAGCTTCTAGTAAGAAATTTGTGCAAACGGTTAACACATATACTATTGTATGTACTACTGATATCGATAGATATAAGTAGTGTGTATCACCAGTCAAAAGTGAAATACCTGATGACAAAAGTTTAAGAAGATCGAAGAGATTTTTAAAAAAAACACCTTGAACCGAGAGTAATTGGTATAGAAATGAAAGAACAATAAAGTCTAAGGCGATTGATTGTTATTTTGCAAATGAAATATTTACCGTATAGTTCTCAGATTTCACTAAGATATTGTGTAATTTTGTATCGAAGTACATTTGGTTGATCCCACTTGTGTATTCTCATTTATTACGGTAGTTTTACCAATACCATTTATTTTACTTATCTAAACACATAATAATTGTTACAAAAGGGCACCAGATATATATGCGTTGTACAAATATCATTTGATTTGTGTGAGGGCTGTGATACTATCCAGGTGCCCAAACTGAAGCAGGTGGTTTTCTTAGGAGGCCACATCCCGAGCCTCTGACCTAAAGATTTGATCCACAAGGCAGTGGAGCATCGTAAGGAGATGCAGACCCATGATAGCCGATGACCAACGATTGATTCATAAACCATTTTTTCTCTCAAGATACTGGAGCCCATGTGCACCATTGATTTGGATTCAGGGTTTTTCGACTCCCCTAGATGAACTTTCCATGTCCACCGGCATGGTTAAAGCGTTGAACATTCGGTTTTTGCCCTTTGAATTTCTTAAACAACATCCATACCACGAGAAGGCAGTGAGTAGGACTTCCATGGCAAAGGCTATATATGCGTGGCTATGTGACAGTATTTTGAGATGAAGAGTTGGCTCTCCCCATCTTCGGTAGCACCAGGCCATTTGAAGGCTACCAATATCAATAGCCTCATCAATGTATACTTATATATTTTAAACTAGAAAAATTACAGAATATTAATATTTGTCATGGAATAAATGATATATTATTATGTAATCATAACCATTAAATCTCTTTCTGAATCTTATCATTACTCTGAATATAAATACATAGTCATAATTATACATATAAATGTCTATGTACAAAATACATTTTAGCTTTTTTTGTTTTTGTTTTTTCTGTTTTAAAATAAATCGTATTGATTAAAACATAATTTATGTAAAACAGTTTCTTCATGAATGTGTTTACTTATAATTGTTGTTGTTGGTGGTGGTGTCGGTGGTGCTGTTGGTGGTGGTCGTCATGGTATCTTTTTAAACATCTGTATCACGATTTATATTTAATTGATCATGTATTTCATTATGAGTAGTAGTTGAATGATTTCTTGAAAAAAAATGAATTGAATTTGAACTACCTTCATTGACAGAAGGTTGTGTCATACGAATAATTGGTACCTGTATCTTTTTCTTATTATTATTGTTGCTACGTGGTAACAAATTTGTTTTATTTGAACGTGATAATTTAGGTAAACATCGATTAAAACATGATAAAAAGCATGAATAAAATAAATGATATATATCTTGTCGAAAATTTTTATTTATCCATGCATAAATAAATGGATTATAACATGTTGATGAATCCCGAGCAAAGTTAGCTGCAGCCCATGCTTTAATTGAATAAGATTTAAACCAAAATTCACGATTAATTAAACCATGTAAATAGATTGTATGCCTTGGAAGCTGGGATAAACCATACATTAATGCTACTAATGTTAACATTTTCACCATCTAAAACAAATGAATACATGATAAAGATAATCATTATATGGAAAAAGGTTACATGAAGGTTTAAAACACACTGTTTAGTTGAAATCGTGAGTCAATTGAAGTTAGACCACCATGGAAAACCTGGAAGCACTGGATGGGCATTTCATCCGATTGTGGGACTCCTCAGCAATGCGCATTCACGATCCCGCCTCAAGAGAGACGGACTTAAGACCTATTAGTCTCGCGCGTGAGTGCTTAACCTCTAGACAACTGAGTTGGCATCCAACGGTGTTAACGTCCAACTTCAACCAATCCACAAAGTTGGGCAACCCCTTCTGACAAAATTATTTCTAAACCTGTGTACAACTGTTTTATTCATAACCTTGTTTAGCTTATGGATTACTTCAGACAATCATTTTTTAAAAACAAAAGTAGTGTTTAAGCACTCGCGTGCGAAGCTAATAGATCCGGTGTTCGAATCTTGTGAGGCGGGATCGTGGATGCACACCGCTGATGATGAAACGGTTGTCTAATGCTTTCATGTTTTCCATGGTGATCTAGCTTTAATTGACTCTTAATTTCAACTATAAAAGTAGTTTTATTTTGGAAAACATCACGTTTTTATATCTATTCAAGAATCAATAAACCAACGAGTAGACATAAAAATAATCAATATAGGAATTTTTGAAGATTGTAATATTTTCATTTTTCAATTGACGACTTGATGTAAGGTAGACCACCATTGAAACCCTGGAAGCATTGGATGACCATGATCAGTGGTATCCAATTCGTGTTAGGACTGAGACAGTTATCAAACTCAGAAAAAAGATCAAGGGTTATGAAAGATTATGGGTCGATTGAAGTCAAACATTAAAACCGCTGGATACCGGTTCAGTGATCTAGAGGTTAAATATTCTTGAGTGAGACAGAAGGTCTTTGGTTCGAGTCCCATGTGAGAGATCGTGGATGCAAACAGGTTTTTGATGATGAGTTGATGTTAACCTGATGTTAATGCTGATGTTAACCTTACATGAGATAATCGATAAAACGGCTGATTTAATCACATCAATATTATAACCCCTTGATTTTTTCTTTCTTTGTATGTCTTTTCCTTGGAAATTGATAATTGTATAAAGATTTACACACAAAAGTATACTTTAATATATACAGACATGGTTTACCTAAAAATGTGATATAATTGTGACTTAGTAACTACGTAATTTAATCATTAAACAGCATGACAACTAACATTTACAGATATATGTGTAGATGGATACAAAATTAGTGTATATTACAATAGTGGTTAATTAAAACGGAAAATCATCTTCTCTATAGGGGAAACTTTACGTTTGTTTTTCAATTAATTCATACGTTGAAATAACAATTTCGCTAAAGATTAACGACTAATTTATTAAAATCAACGCGAATTAATTAATGCGCATGTTCATCTATAATAATTTTGTCTCAGACAAATTGTTTTTACGTATGTTATACAAGACAATAATTCTATTTGAAGTTTTTCTTACTTTAAGAAATGTTTACTTTATAAAAGTTAATTGAGATCATGAATTAATCAATGTGAGAGAGGTAATTCTGAGAGTTCTAGTGAAAAATCGTGATCAGTGAAGTGAGTCCGTGTCGGATAGAGACTGATATCTACCTCAGACAATGAAAGATGGTGGCGCAATATCGTGGATTGCTTGTAGTTAGACATTAACACCATTGGATACTAGCTCAGTGGTCTAGAGGTTAAGCGTTCTCATGTAGGAGATCGATTGTCCTGAATTCGAATTCTGAGTGCAGGATTGTTGATGCACATTTCTGAGAATTCCAATATTAGAACAAAAAGGCTGTCCAGTGCATTCAGTTATTCACTGGTAATCTACTTTAAATCGGCTCATGAATTCAACTATTAAAATACACTAATTTAATATGTTAATTTTAGACTGAACGTATTTTTCTGTTTCTTAGACACAGTGAAAAAGTAACAGTAGCATTTTGAACAATGAATCATGCCGCTATTATACATTTTTTCATCAACTCCAGTACCTTGTTGATGCTAACATTGTTTGACAAGTGTTTTAAAATTATGGTCGAAAGCTGGCCAAAGTAAATTTAACTTAAGAAACTGAACTGTTTACTTATTCTAAGTTTATGAATAACAGTATAACTTGTAAATAAATTTCATTTCCTATTACGAGTGTTTTATAATCTTATTATTATCATCACATAACAAATATCCAACCAAACTTCTAATTGTGACTAATATTTGATGAAATCCACTTAATCAAGTCTTCTGCGACATCTTTCATATGAAACAAATACAATATGCATTTTATTTTGTTTGTTTGAATGTTTCCAATGATGTTTAGAATTACAATTGATTAAGCTCTCATTGAAATATGTGCTTCTTGTGCAGATTGCCTTGATATTGCCTGCAGTCAAAAAGATTATATGCAAAGATGGATGGTGGCTAGCAGTGCAAAACCAGGACGCGCGATTCATCTTTGCTTATAATACATGAGATTTAAGGCAATATCGAGGCAATCCGTATAGGATGCATATATGCTGTTAACAGACTGATTTATAAGAGTCCTAAACAACAACGGGAACATTCAAACAAACAATACAAAATGATCTAAAACTTCACCCAATCTCATAAGCTAGTAGCTATCAGTACTCAATAACTAAGTTGATAACGCGATGAAGTTTGAAGCAAAGAATAATGGATTCGAGTTCTGGAGTGAACATCAACTCTGAGAGGCAGGAACATCGAACCGACAAGTTCTTATTGGGTAGAAACTAGTGTTTTGGATTCTACTGCTAGCCATCATCCATCTTTGGTTATAAATAAAACATACACTGATAGCTTTGAAAACTTGGCAACCGGTTTCCTAATAGTTAAATGCTGTTTCTTTAGTCGATTTAGACTTGACACTAATTGTAAATAACAATAATAATATTTCGATAGTTGAGATCATGAGTCGTTTGAAGTTAGACTACCACGGAAAACGTGGAAGAAGTGAAAGAACTGTTTCGTCCTTTTATGGGATTCCTCAACAATGCGCACTCACGATCCCACCTTGCGAAATTCGAACCAAGGACATATCAGTGTTGCGCTTGAGCGCTTTACATCAAGACCACTGATTCGGTGTCCAACGGTGCACTGTACACTGCTTAGGAGTCCCACGATAAGGCGAAACGGCTGTCCAGTGCTTCCAGGTTTTCCATGGTGGTCTAGCTTTAAATGACTCATGATCTCAACTATTGAAATCACTATAATATCCACAAAAAGCTCTATCTGATAATAATAATGATGTTGTTAGACATTGAGATATAAGGTTGAAGTACAGTTAAATTGTCAAAAATATTTCAAAGGTATGCTGAATCACCGTTTATTTGTTCATGTTTACATCTATTTGAAAGTATATCATAATCATTTATCTAGGTAGAATGTACTTACATATTTAATTATCAAACTTCAAGATGACATTCAATGTCGAGTTCAGTAAACTAAATCTTACTGGATTCAATAATCAAGAATACTTAACATGATACAATGATTTACATCACTTCATAATTAGATTGTTTCATCTTACTCAGCAACAATAACTTTCTATGTAATCGAATCAAGAATAATCAAGTATCATGGTCAGCATATGTTTTCTATTCACCATCCATTTAGCAACATTCTGTTTGATATCAATCTATGACTTCGTTTAATTTTAATTTATCTCCATAGACAAATGCTGTTTACATGTATTCATCTTTAAAAATACAAGCCAATTATCCAATCTTTTAGCTGTATTCAATTCATTTTTAGGCTACTGGACATTCTTAATCATTGTATTTCGAACAATGTATCCAAAGTACATATAATCCAATATGTAAAAATATCTCAATAAAATTATGATTCTATTTTAAAGTGATCGCACGTCTTCATAATAAGCATTACATAATAGTGACTGGTAATACATTCCAAGACGCTAGCCACTATCCATCTTTGCTTAAAAAGCTTGTGATTTAAGGCAATATCGAGGTAATTTGCACAGGATATACACATGTCAATAAGAGACTGATTAATTGCAGTCCTAAACAATAATGAGAAGCTACAAGCAAACAACACCGAGTAAAGTAATACATAATGTAACAGACAATAAAGCGTATTATGATAATATAAATTAGAAAATTTATTTGTATCATAAGTCAAGCTTTGTTGAAAAATTCACTTCGTGAATGAGTACCACCATTCATGGTTGAAAAAGGGTATGACAAAAATAATATTCAGCTCCGCTCTATCGTACATAGTTGACGGTCGATTAACAGATAAAATCAAGTCATTCACAGTAATTTATCTTACATCTACTAATTTTAACTATAGTTTATGGTCTCGTCTCTTAAATACAGTTAAAGTCATATGGATTCGAGATGACAATTCATGTTTGTAGTGATATGAAGACAGAATAAGGCTTAACAAGCGATTTTACTGATTATTATGAATATTCATATCGTTCACTTGTCACTATTCTTTTGTTCAAACTGTTTAAAACAGTTTTTATTACATAATTTTAGTGGTTCTTGAATGAGTATTATGTCAAAGTCTATCTCTGCAAGTGCCTTCAATCTGCCTCCTATTATGGAGTATTCAATCAAGCTTTGGTTGTTCTAATAATAAGTAGTAAACTAATCACTATACTATCAATTTGTTCATCTTATTATGTTTAGTTATGTAATCTGTTCCATTGTTATCGCTGACGCACAAACTGTCTTGATTGCAATGATATTATCATAAATGTATTACTGTGTATGATAGACTAATCAAGGTTTTCCTCAGTAATGCGCATCCACGATCTTTCATGCGATACTCGAACCCAGGACCTTCGGTCCCATAGTAGAACGAAACAACCGTCAAGTGCTTCCATTTATTCGATGGTGGTCTAGTTTAAATCTATCTATGAATTCAACTATTAAAAAAATTACTGCAATCTCCACAAACCCTCATTCTGATCATAATCAAGATC